TGCTCCACAGGTTTGCTGTCTTCAGTCATTCGATTAGTGTTGGAGTCCGTGTGCAGGATCCTCATGCAGCACCAAGAGGAACGTGCAGCAGGAGATGGAGATTGTGGGAGCACACATGCTCTCATAGCTAATGGTAAAACATTTTCAACATTTAAACAATGCACATATCATTTAAACCCACATACAGTATTTCTTAATTTTGTGGAAATGTATTATGCTTTTTAAACGACTGTTTTACATGCCCTCACAATGTTGTCTACTTCAGCCATTAAGGAATGGCTCAGACTAGCAGAATCCCTGGGAACCTTGGCCAGCTTCTAGCAGATCTTGCTCTGTTGGTCCAGGAAAGGATGGGAGGATCATCAGGGGCAGCATGTGAATGTATATCAGGTTCAAACATTTGACTCACTAAACCAATGCTTGAGCTGATTAGTTACTCTAAAAATCTGGAAACAATATTATGTTTTCTCATGAAATTATCAAATAACCCTTAATCTTTTTCTTCACAGTTACACTGCCTCTTTTTGTCTGTGGCTCTCAAACAAAACTGTGATGGTGCGGCTTGGGCAAAGGCATTGCATGCTGGCACAGAGGCCATGAAGAGGTCAGTGACACAGGTATTAGCTGAACACATTGAGTCTGAATTGTTTTCCTTGATACTTTGGCATTCTCAGTATAAAATGTGCCAAACTGTAAACTTAGTGACGTGTATGAAGTATAAAGATGTGTCATTTTATTGCAAATGTAAATACTTCCTTGTTTTCCAACAGATATGGAGGATCAGGACCATGGTATGCTTGAGACATGAATTAAGAGTCATATTCTAGTTGTAGTAACTGTTTTACACAAACTTATCTTATCTTGAGTTAGTAAATGTAGATTAGATTACATTACTGGTTAAAAGTAGGCTGCATTTATTGATAAAAATACTGTACCGAAAAATAAAAACAGTAATGTGATTTTTTTTTCATAAAATTTTTTTATTGTTATTTTATTGATTAATTTTTGCAGTTTTCTATTCTAATATATTTTAAAATCGAATTTATTCCTGTGCTACAAAGTAGAATTTTCAGCATCATTACTCCAGTTTTCAGTGTCACATGATCCTTCAGAAATCATTCTAATATGCTGATTTACTCAAGAAACATGAGCAGTGTTTCTGAAATAATTAACCTGCAGGTTTTATCATAGTACCATCATTAAATCAAGCCTTTGATACTTGCAAATTATTAATAAAACTGACCGTGTGTTATCTTTTAGCTTGATGCCCTGTGCCCTGCTGCGGAAGAGCTGATGAAGCTTTCCACAGCGCCTCCTGATGGTCACATAACTATACTACAATCAGCAGTGGAGGTATGGACTTCCACTTTGGCCATGTTTAGCTTTCTTGTGTTCTCATAATTTCTTGCATCTATAATATTGCCCTCTTGCTTATCTGTAACAGAAAGCAGATTTTGGGAGCGGAGTCGACCCGCAATCTCACTGCAAGGGCTGGACGTGCCAGTTATGTTGCATCTCAACATTTGACTCAACCTGACCCTGGTGCCGTAGCGGTAACCGCCATACTGAAGGCCATCCTCAATGCTTTGAAGGCCTAGAGGAAGAGAAGCTCACCAACAGTTCCGTAAAGGGATAGTTCACCCAAAAATGAAAAGGACATTTTTTAATATAACTCTGATTAGGGCTGTGCAATTTATCAAAACTCAGTTTCGATTTCGATTTTGGCCTCCAACAATTATGAAAATACAGTAATCGAGATTTGCGCCCCATTCCGCCCCCTTTCTAGCGGTGCTCTTTCGCTCCTCCATTAAAGACCAATTTCATGTGCAAATTCGTAAAATCATGTAATGAGACTTTTGCAAAATGGGACGTGCTTGATTTATTAAAGTTGATTAGATTTATTCATGTTTTTAAAAGCGCTAACGAGAACTGTTCCTCAGGAGGATTACTGTGCATGCGCTCAGAATCGGAGCAGAACACAGACGTGTAAAGTCAACTTTTAGTGCCTAAACGGTCAAATACATGCAAAAATGTGTCAAAATGCGGCGCTTAGTGATTATTAACGTAAACCTTGTCGATTATGTAATAAATGAACGTAAACAGTTGAGAATGAAAATACGTGTGTGATGGTAAATTGGGTCCGTGCAGCTCTTAAAGTGACAGCAGGCTAATATTCCTGCTGCGACTGTGTGCTTAAAGGGGTCATATGATGCTGCTAAAAAGAACATTATTTTGAAACTCAGTTTCGATTTCGATTTTGGCCTCCAACAATTATGAAAATACAGTAATCGAGATTTGCGCCCCATTCCGCCCCCTTTCTAGCGGTGCTCTTTCGCTCCTCCATTAAAGACCAATTTCACGTGCAAATTCGTAAAATCATGTAATGAGACTTTTGCAAAATGGGACGTGCTTGATTTATTAAAGTTGATTAGATTTATTCATGTTTTTAAAAGCGCTAACGAGAACTGTTCCTCAGGAGGATTACTGTGCATGCGCTCAGAATCGGAGCAGAACACAGACGTGTAAAGTCAACTTTTAGTGCCTAAACGGTCAAATACATGCAAAAATGTGTCAAAATGCGGCGCTTAGTGATTATTAACGTAAACCTTGTCGATTATGTAATAAATGAACGTAAACAGTTGAGAATGAAAATACGTGTGTGATGGTAAATTGGGTCCGTGCAGCTCTTAAAGTGACAGCAGGCTAATATTCCTGCTGCGACTGTGTGCTTAAAGGGGTCATATGATGCTGCTAAAAAGAACATTATTTTGTGTATTTGGTGTAATGAAATGTGTTTATGTGGTTTAAAGTTAAAAAACACATTATTTTCCACATACTGTACATTATTGTTTCTCCTCTATGCCCCGCCTTTTTGAAACGCGTCGATTCTTACAAAGCTCATCGGTCTGAAAAAGCGAGGTGTGCTCTGATTGGCCAGCTATCCAATGCGTTGTGATTGGCCGAATACCTCAAGCGTGAGACGGAAATGCTACGCCCCTCACACACTGTTGATGCCGTGTCCCGGCCGGAGCGACGAGACAAAAACATTCAAACCCATTATAAACGAGGCATTTGTTGCATCCAGTGGGGACATAATTACTGATTATAATGACTTATACTGTCTTTTTACGCGTTGCATTGCATCGCACCGCATAAACATAAAAAAATTGAAATCGCATCATATGACCCCTTTAATATTAATCAAACAACAAAAGACAAAGACAAAATCACACATTGCTCGAGTGAAATTGATTATTCAATTTCTCTAGTAGGCTGTTAACTGAATACTTTAGACTTGCATTAAAAACTTAAAGCAGTTTGTTTCATTTGTATCTTTTTTTAATCTATTGTATTCCTTTGCTTTTTTTATTACTGGCAGTTTAATTATTTTTTGTTGTTGTTGTTTTTTAATTTTTTTTACTAATATCAGTTACCCTAATACTCTGCTGTGGGATTGAGAATTGTGACATTTCGCTGGTCTCTAAAATGTAGATGTCATAGCAACCTTATTTACAGAAAATATATATTTGGTATATATCACTATCTTTAAATATTTCATATAAAGTTTTGGTCATATAGCCCACTAATACTTGTGTTAAATAATCGTGATTACAGTATCGACCAAAATAATCGTGATTATGATTTTTTTTGTCATAGTCGACCAGCCCTAACCCTGACTGTATTCATCTGAAAGAAGAATGCATAATGATGAATAATTGCATTTTGGGTGAACTATCCCTTTAAGGAATAGTAAAGAAAAAGGCTGTAAACAAAACACGTGTTTGCTAACATTTGATTATTGCAGATCTTCAAGATGGCGTGTGAACTTTTAAAATACACACCCTGTTAAATGTGATGTTAATAGGATGACATCCTTAAAGTAGTGTAAAAACTGTTGCTCAGCATTCAACTATGTTTGGCCCACATAGAAGCAATGGCTCAATCAATTGTGTAATTTTGGTCCAAGAAAACTTTTTATAACAGTAATCATTTTTGCATTGCAGTTTGGTGCCACTCGTTTAGCAGAATTTACACTTTTTTTTTGCTTCAATGCTCGAAATCCTGAATAATTAATCAATGTACTGCCATTAACGAAGCAATGAAAAGATGAGTGACTGACTTGCTGAATTGTTTTTGTTTACTTACTATAACCATTATCATCATTTATTACTTGTAATTTACATTTTTTTATATAAATATGGTTTGAATGGAAAAGGAGCATTATTAAAAGTCAATTTAACACTAGTAAACATGTTTTAACATCACATTTTAAATGCATTTCATTGTAATGTGAATTAATGTGACTGATAATTAAAGAAAACATTTGCTACATTTTAATCTGTGGCGACATCATTTTTAATAATCAGATGTTAAAGGGATAGTTCCCTCAAAAATTCAAAAATCTGTCATCATTTACTTACCCTCATGCCATTCTATACCTCTAGTTTTTGTTACCATTGACCTCCATTTTTCTCATTTCTCAAAATATTTATTTTAGTAAATAATGTCAAAATTTGAATTTTTGGGTGAACTGTCCTTCTAATGTGATGATAATGCATATATCTTATGTTTTTCCAGCAGGTTAAGGATTACGTGCTCATAATACTCCCACCCGCATGTTCATACATGTCTACAGAAGAAACTTGACAATCCCGTTTTGAGCCTAGGGGAATATTTATTTTGATGACGTGAGTGTGATGACTTACTATTTATATTACACCCAGTGTGAAAGCCTTGCCCTGCTGCTAATGATTAAATGACTGAATTATCTCTCTATGTAAAGGTAAGCCTGTCATATGAATCAAAGTTCATGTTAGATGAAAGCGGAAAAGGGAGAACAAAAACAAGTTTATTTAAATCTACACCGAGACACACAATCAAGCTGGACATCTTGTTTCGTTTCTCTCTCTCGCTTTTATTCTTTACCTTTTTTTTCTTCTAGTCATGCACCCACAGACTTCCTGTGTCTTCATGCACACAGTCAAACATGCACAGTAAGTGTGTGAAGCGCAGGACCGTAATGTTGCTGGCTTTCTATGCAAGCTGAATGACAGATGCTTTATTTTGATCTACCATCACTAGGTAGGTACATTTCAAACATTGTAGAGTTCATCAGAGATGATGCCCTTGTGATTAATAGGCTGTTTCTATTATACTGTATATTACCATGTATCTTGTATCAGTAGAGTCAACCCCTCACTCATTTTGCTTGTAGTTTCAATGAATACTACCATACTAACATTGTATTATTTTATACATCTTATAAAAATTATAACACCAGGGTGTGTTGGCTCTTGGTTTTTGAAAACTTTAATAGAAAAGGAAAGGAAAGAACAGAGAAGAAAAGGTAAAACCGCAGTGATTGATGACGGCAAAGGCACATACTAGCATTGTTTTAATGATTAATCACGTTATTTTCTGGATTAAGATCATTTTGGAAGAAAATCAAACTGTGCCACAGTGTTTACCGTATGTGTAACGGCTTCCAGCAACTGAGATCAAAGTAAAAGTAAACCATTTTAGCAGGAAATGAAAGTCTTCAAAAAAATAAAAACTGCAGAGAAAAACAAAGCATTATCTGCCGTTCTCAGTGTACACAGCTCAACCAGGAAAGTGTTAAGAGATACGTGCTGAAGTTGTTATTTTAAAGTGCCTGGGCGTTACAGGTTTCTATTTTAATTTGACTGTAAATAACTTGATGCAAGTATAATGTCTGACTGTTTTTACCAAGGCTTTCTGTTTTTCTTATCACCCACAGAGATGGAGTTTTCTTGCAGTCATGTTGTGTGTAACTGGAAGTCTGAGAGCTTAACAGAAGATGAAGCTAAAGTCTCAAATCAAGGTCAGTTGTACGCTGTAAATGCATTAATGAGAATGGCGAACTGTTGGTTATTAACATTTAATAATACAGCGCAGATAATACTGATGAGACATGTAAAGATACAGGATTAGTGAATGAAGAGTAATATGTATTAAGGGAAAGCTCGGCAACAACAGTTCAGTTACACATGCCTGGTTTCCCTAGCTGTGTCAGATTTAATGGCAGTGCATTATCAGGTTGGACCATTTTTTATATTTTGCTGTTTTGTCGATTGTTTTGTACTTCATAATCATTTTACTGTTAAAATTTCACTTAAAGAATAACATTAAATAGTCTCTAATAGGCAGGCTCCCATTGTGACAACTTGCCCCGTGTTGTGTTTTGGGGTATTTTTATATTATTTGGCACAAATAGTCAGTGTGTAACTCCATCTATCCCTCATGCCTTCTCATGTTTTGTAGGTTTTGCCTCCACTCTTCCCTGTGGTCTGTCCAGAGCTCAGTCTGTCTCCGATCATCCTTACGACAACCGCGTTACCTTTGTTCAGAAACCAGGTGAGTAAATGACACCTTGTTTTTCACCTTAGCATTGCTTTATGAACATTGTTCCGAATAAGTGGCTTGTATTCTCTCTGTACATGTGAGAAATTGTTATTTCTTTAATGTTGTTTTTGTGGCAATTGTTTTGTTACTAGTTCTGATAAAGAACGGCAGAATTGACTCATTTGTTTGATTGAAACTTTAAATGTTGAGTGGAACAACTCTTTTGGTTCAGGCCATGCCTGTACTCTTGAGAAGAAAATGCTGGTTGGAAAAAATAAGCTCACATCCTTTTTGTGGGTGTAAAAAGTTGATGACAGAGAAACCTCATAGGTGCGTTTGATTTAGACAAAATGACATAAATGCCCATTATTATACAGTAAAGGTTTATATAATTTGTGTAGGCTCAAGTGAAATAACAAACGTTGGGATTTATTTTTGCGAATGATCTTTTCATTGTTTGTACTCTCTGGTTTGTATATTAGCGTGGTACAAGTTGTGTTCAGCAGTGGTTAGTACTAGTGGTTTGTGAAATGGGTGACTTGACAGACTTCCACAAATGATGAATCATGAAAGCCCTTTTAGCAGGAGCGTCTGTAACCTTAAAACCCAATTGTTAGGTGCTTTAAGAACAGCAGTCTTTTTGATTACGACTGCATATGCAAAGCATGGCAAGACTTCATTAGTGAAATAAAGTAGTTGGCGAAAACTGAAAGTGAACAATAAGGACTGTCAAACACTGAGAAGGATTGTGTCCAAACAACAAAGAACTACTGCAGCAAAAGACAGCAAACATCCTTTTAACCATGAAGGTTAAACCCAAGGTTTCCACAAAATCTGACTTCACAAAGCCAACAATCATGAAAGAGCTGCAACTGCTAAAACTGAAATCACAGACACCAATGCTAAAATGCAAAAAAGATGGTATCATGATGTCAAGCCTGGAAGATAAAACATCTGCCCTGGCCAGACATATCAGCTGATTTGAATATTATCAAACCACTGTGGACAGTTTCAAAGAGAAGAATGGATAGCCGATTCCCTCCTTCAACATCTGTAAAACAATGGGCACATGTTCTGACAGATGCCATTCAAATGGAGACTATTACAAAATGGGATGAATTTAGTCAAAGAAGGCTGGAAGCTGTATTAAAGGCAAATGATGGGTGTTTACATTATTTTGTCCAACTTCTGTATAAATCTAAATCTTTATAAATGGAAGTCTCTTATGCTCACCAAGGCTGCATTTATTTGATTTTAATATAATAAAAATAGTAATATTGTGAAATATTATTTAATAATATTAAATAACATTAATATTATTATATTAAATATTAAAATAATTTAAAATAACTGTTTTATATTTTAGTGTAATTTGTAAATTACACTTTTTACACGTAAATTACACATGCACTTAATGTAGTCCTGTGTAGTCTGTGATAAACGTTCACAGTTCTTATATTATAGTCAGCTATTTTTTCTCTTAGTACTTTTTTTTTATAAATAGTCTTCTTAGTTCTTATTTAACTTTTTACTTAGCCTATTTAATATAATTTCATTATGTCCAGTTTAGTTTCTTTGTAGTTCTGTGTTTTTGTCTATGTAGCACCTTGGTCCTGGAGAAACGCTGTCTGGTTTCACTGTATGCTATCTGTATAGAGCTGGAATGACAATAAAGCTACTCTGACCCTCAAATTTTTCCTGTGATGCAAAGCTGAATTTTCAACAGCAGTTACCCCAGACTTTAGTGTAACATGATCCTTCAGGAATCATTCTTATATGCTGATTTAGTGCTTAATAATAATTTGTTTTTATTATCAATGTTAAAAACAGCATTTATTTACAACGAAAATCTTTGGTAAAATTGTAAATGGCTTTACTGTCACTTTTGATTAATTGAATGCATCCTTGCAAAAAAAAATGTTTAATTTGTATAAGAAAATGTTATTATTTTTTATCATTTTTTTTACCTAATTTTTTTTCCCGTTTTTTTTTTCTCTTACAGCTCCATTGATGGCTCCTCCACCTGTACCGCCCCGTAACATACAAAGGAGAGACACTCTCTGTAGCGCACTCCCACCACCATTACCACCGAGAGGTGAGAAGTCATTCACACTCCCTTCATAACACGAAAAAGCACAGAGAATATTAGTTATGCTTAAACTGAAGCGATACACTGAAAATACTATGATGTTTGACAATAAACAGGTTCAATGAGTTCACCCTCACCCTCCTTCACTCTCTTTCTCAGGTCTGGAAAATAATGGAGAGACTCAACTTAAAGCTAATGTAAATGTAGTGTCGCTAAAAGTGGGAAGCCTCGTGGACATTGGTAAAGGTGTGCTAAACTGCTAAACAATATTTTTTGACAGCATGATCTTCCTAAATGTTACATCTGTTCAGCTCACTTACTATCTCCTTAGCATCTGCTATACAGAGCAGCCAGAAACCAGTGCGTTGTGGGAAATGCAATGCCATCATGTCCTCGGCAAGCAGCCCAGAGACACACCAGAAAACAATAGTAAGTTATACCAACAGGTGCAAAACCACTGTGTTTATATGACACTTACTGTTGTTTCCTGTCCCTTTTTTCTAGATATGGAGCTGTGAGTTTTGTGGGAAGGAGAACGTTTACCCCCAGACTACACTGAAGGGCGGCCGGTTTCCTTTGCGCAATCCTCCAGGCAGGGATATACTTTACTTGGACGAAGATGAGGACACAGATTATGAGAATCTAGACGACATGCTTATTGTCCTGTGCGTGGACATTTCCGGAAGTATGAGCGTCACTTCTGAGGTGCCGATCACTTTCATTAAAGACATCCAGAGCTGTTATTTTGTTTTTAACACCCTCACTTGTTCACATTAAATATATTTTTCTCTCAGATCTCTCCCGGTAACAGCACACGATCACCCACATATGTTTCTCGACTGCAGGTGAGAGGTGACTTTTGACTTTAAATACAATTATTTTTGCTTGTATAAACAGGCACAATGCATTTGAAGTTATACTCCCATTTTTTGGGATTCAGGGAGTCCAAGAAGCTCTTCAGATGGTGCTGACCTCCCTGCAGAAAACCTCACCTCACCGAAGAGTGGCACTGGTGACGTTTAACAATGAGGTAAAGATACTTATGGGGAAAAAGGAGTGAGCCAGAAAAGCAGAACGAGAGGAGATGCTGTAATGGCATCAAGTACATTTTAGGCTTTTTTTAACTTGATGTGCACAAACCGTTTATTATTACCAGTTCTGATAACAAAGACTATAAACATTTTCCTCAATTTTTTCTGTACACTTGTTTGCAAAATCTGCCGCACTATTATTTTATTGTGTTTGCAATGCCATGCAATTATTGTGGTGTAATACAGAAATGTGGGGTCTGGGGAAAATGTGAGAGGAAAAATAATTTTTTTATTTTTATATATTATGTATACATTATTATATATAATGGAATTGTTAGATGTAATTTTACTGGAAACATATTTATTGTGAAAAGCACTATACATTCACATTAGAGTTTATTTAAAAATGTTTCTCTCATGTTTATACTGCACAATATTATTACAATGTTAGGAAGAAAAAAGATAAACTTAATACAAAGAATTTGAATATTTGCCTTGCCTTATGTGCAATGTATTTATTTTTAACTTCCAACATGTTGTCTTTATAATATACATGCTTTTTCTCACTTGTTGTAAATGTCTTTAAACATGAAAATATAGAACTGCTTTTATATTATATGTAGGGTAGCTTCAAAAAGTTTGAATACACCCGGTATAATATATTTTGAATAGGTTAGTGGCTAAACAACACTAAAAAATGTGGTTGGTCATTTTACAAGCCATTCAGGTGGTCTCTTCCTGTTTAAGTGGGTTATTCTTTGTCAGAATAAGCAGCTCTGTGGTCCAGAGTTTATGCTGGTAGATTTTGGCGATACGGAACCAGGCTGAATGTTCCCTGTAAATCATACATACTTGTGGACTACATACTTGTGAAGCCAAAATTCAACAGACCTATAAAACTTACTGACATGTGATGACAAGCTGTGATGACTGAGCATTTCCCATTCTTGTTTTGGTTTTGAAAAGCATGTGGCTTCTGGTTTGTGGAAACCAAAATTCACTATGAAGAAACTAAGAAGCGTGTGAAACTACTAAGTTTAGCTAATTAAAAGCCATTTCAGAGAGCTAGATACAGAGGTAAAGAATAGCAGCATAGCTCTCATAGTGCTTTATTTTACTGTCACGTGAATAGATTACAGTTCAGAAAAGCATGAACAGTTGTGTTTGTGGTTGTTAGGTGACAGTATATGGTGATGGCACAAAGGTTCCTCTCACTCTGAGAGACTGGGCACTGCTGGACTATGACTATCTGAAGAAGGAGGGTGGGAACTACAGCACCCCTCACTGCATTGCAGAGACAATCCAACCTCTCACCCAGAAAATCAAAGAGTGAGTGGCACATTCTCTGGCTTTTATTGTATGTATATCTGTCAAAGGTCACGTCATCTTGTCTGTATTTTTTCTGTGTTTGCGTATGCATGTGTGAGCAGGCAGTATTTTGTAGGCTTGTCAATGAGCTTCTTTCTGCTAGGCTGTCTGATTTCGTGTTTTGTGCTTCTGTCAGTTGGTAAACTGTCTGAATTGTTGTTTAAAGGTCCACAGCTTTATGAAACCACTATATCCTGTTAAAGGGCTCATATGACGCTGCTAAAAATAACATTATTTTGTGTATTTGGTGTAATGAAATATGTTTATGCGGTTTAAGGTTCAAAAAACACATTATTTTCCACATATTGTACATTACACTTCGGTCACACGCTTGAGGTATTTGGCCAATCACAACACACTGGATCGCTGGCCAATCAGAGCACACCTGGTTTTTCAGACCGATGAGTTTTGTAAAAATCGACGTGTTTCAGAAAGGCGGTGCATAGAGGAGAAACACGCCCCTCACTGTACTCTGATGCCATCTCCCGGCACGACCAGACAAAACCAATAAAACCCATTACAAACGA